GGCGGGGTACCCGGATGGAGGGGCTAAGGGGGGTACTAGGGAGGGCTGGGTACCCGGATGGAGGGGCTAAGGGGGGGTCCCCGGGGGCTCCCTCTCCCCCACACTCTCACTGCCCCCCCATAGGGAGGGGTCGTCGGGGCGAAAGTACCCCGGGGGGAGGGGGGGCAGCAGCCTCCGGCGGCCGGACGCAGACGAATCAACCCCTCGCTCGCCCGCTCCTTCCCCCTCCCCCGCCCCGTTGCGGCTTTTTGACCCTTCCCGGCTTCCGCGGCAGCCCCTCGCGCTCGGCCCCGGCCTAGTGTCAACATCAACACAGCCGGCCCCTGACCCCGCGCGCTCACTTCCGCCGTCACGCCCCTTAGCAACGCCGGGGGCGGGGACTACGCACGCCTGGGCAACGGCCCTGCTCTCACTGGCTACCACGCGCGGCCTCACGCTCATTGGACACAGGTTGACGGGCCAACTATCTGATTGGCCACGGCTCACCCGCCAATCAAGAGGGTCCCACCCACACCCGTTTTCTCACTACAATACCCCCTCCCACAGCCCATAGCAACGACACAGCGGAAGGCGGGACCTGGGCCGCCCTTAGTAACAGTGAATTGTCTTATTGGAGCAGAGGTTAAGCTCTCATTTCTGATTGGCTGTACACCACGGAACCGATTTCTGATTGGCTGAGAGGTGGAGTACTCATTTCTGACTGGCTGAGAGACAAGGAACCAATTTCCGAAAGGCTGAAACGCAAAGGAGCCATCTCTGATTGGCTAGGAGTCTGAGACGTCGTCTCTCATTGGCTACGAAGGATCCACCTTCGCTTCTGATTGGCTGCTGGACGGGCTCCACACCTCCGATTGGAGGACGAAACAGCAAATGACGTTGATTGGCTGGGAAGACAGGTGCCCACATTTCATTGCCTGAGAGCACAGCGTTCATCTCTGATTGGTTGGACATCAGAGGACAGCTCTCTGATTGGCCAAGAAGAAAAGCCTCCATTTTGATTGGCTATAAGGCATCATCCAATCAAAGGCCCCCTTCCCCTCTAGCCCTGCCCTGGAGGAGCCCGCGCGGCAGCCGCTCTGATAGGCTGAGGTGCTTGTCACTCAAAAATAGTCCCACCCCCTTTTCTCACCTACTAACCCATTCAACCCACCCACCCAGCCCCAAGGGGGGGGCGGGACTA